GTCCCCAGAAGCAGACCCTGAGTCAAGGATCTGAGTACAAATACTATATTATTGTGTGCCACAAGCCCTGTGGCCCCAGGTCTGTTCTCACACCCGGGACTGGGATTCCTGGCTCATAGAGCAGCAACATCCTGCACTTCCCTCAGCACCCCGATGGCTTTCCCTGAGGCTGTACCAGACAGTACTTCCTCCAGCAGGGAGCTCTGGGGGTCAGACAAATGCTGGGTTCAAATCCCACTGGATCGGTTCAAGAAAGGAGTCACCCTTGGCAGGTGGAGAGAAAGAGGACAGACCTCCCTCATAGTTAATGATACAGCAGGTGTCTGTTGAAGGTCCCTTTGTGTCAGGCATTAGGCCAAGCACATCACCCAGGTCATCTGCCTTGGTCTTCACCATAACAGGGAGGTAGAAGCTATTCATATCCCCATTTTACAGATGAGGATAGTGAGTCTCAGAAGTAAGACATGACTTGCCCAAAGTCAGAGTGACAGGCCTTGAACCCAGGTGTTCCTGATTTCAGAGTGCATGGGCTCTTCTGCTTCCCCAGGTTGGAGTAGTCAGCAAGCTGTCCCCCAAGTTGGAGTAGGACCTGCTTTTTCTCAACATCCCCTGTATTACTCTTCTGAGTGGCTGAAAACAGCACAAACTTATTACCTCACATTCTGGGAGACAGAAGTCTCAAATGGGCCTTATAGGGCTAAGATAAAGGGGTCAGCAAGCTGCATTCCTTTCTGGAGAGCCCAGGAGAGAATCAGGTCTTGCCTTTTCCAGCTTCTAGGGGCTGCCAGCTGTCGTCAGCCTGTGGCCCCTTCCATCTTCAAAGCCGGCAGTGGCTGGCCATATCCTCCTCACACTGCATGGCATCCGACACACTTTCCTGCCTCTCTCTTCCATCTTTTTTTTTTTTTTAAGATTTTATTTATTTATTTGACAGAGAGAGACACAGCGAGAGAGGGAACACAAGCGGGGGGAGTGGGAGAGGGAGAAGCAGGCTTCCCGCCGAGCAGGGAGCCCGATGCGGGGCTCGATCCCAGGACCCTGGGATCATGACCTGAGCCGAAGGCAGATGCTTAACGACCCAGGTGCCCCTCTCTTCCATCTTTTAAGGACCCTCGTGATGGCTTGGGCCCCGGAGAATCCAGGATCATCTTCCCATCTCAAACGCAGCTGATTGGCAACCTTAATTCCTGCTCACATGTAATTGAACCTATTCACAGGTTCCAGGGAGGCGCAGCACTCCGCCTACACGTCCCCCCCCAGTGGTGTCTACCTGCACTAACCAGGCCTGGTGTGGAGTGCAGCTTCAACAGGGAAGTGGGTGCTGAGTGCTGGGCACAGGGAGCGCCTCGGCCTCTGGGTTTTGCCATTTCTCTGCTAGCCTGGCCCTCCTGCCCTCTGCAGCCCAGCCAGGTCAAAACTACCAGCTGAAACTCCCACCACTCACACACACACATACACAATCGTCAGGACAGCTTTGATATGGTCCAACTCCGTCTGTCCATCCATCCATCCATCCATCCATCCATGCGAACCACCCTCATGCCTGCTTTCTCTCCCTGATTTGCGCATCTGCCCTCCTGTCCATCATCCCACAACCAGCAAATGCTGCCTCTTACACAGGTCTCATCAAAACTCCACCTAGTGTCTCCTCAGTGCATGGCACCACTGGAATCCACGCCCTCCCCCCTCACCACACTCCCCTCCCACAACAAGTCTTAGCCCCAATTCCTCCAAAGTCCATCCAGAATGCAGCCAATTCTCCAGTCCCCTCCACTGGCCCAAGACTTAGTTGACTCTTTCAAGAATGACTACAGAGAATTCCTGCCTGGTTTCCCCAGCCCACCCATAGTCTACTCCTGAGGACGCCCCCCCCACCATGGACAGTAAACCCCAGCCCCTTGTCATGGCCCACTAGGCTCGGTTCCGTCTGGTGTCTGCTGAATTCCCCACGCTCAACTTCTCCCACCTTCCCCTCACTCACTGCACCACCCCCCCTTGGCCTTCTCTGGCTTGACCACCAAGCCCACCCCCAGGTCAAGGAGCAAGTTCTTCTCATTCCCTCAGCCTTAGACACCCTCCTCCAGGTCCTTACAGGGCTGGCTCCTTCCCATCCAACCTCAGCCCGAAGGTTGTCTCCTCCGAGAAGCCCTCCCAGACCCCCCCAGCTCCTGTTGCCATCATGTTCTTGCTCTATTTCCTGAAATGATCTGTGTACTTACTTAGAGACCACCTCCATCACTCGAATGTCCGCTCCCTGAGGACAAAGGCTGGCCTCTGCTGTGCCTGTAGATCTGGCCCAGGCCCAACACGTGGTAAGTGTTGAATGACATCTCAGGACTCCTCGTCATCCTCAGTATCACAGCCTGTTTCTCAAACGGCTTTCTCTTCCCAAGCATCCATAGACCCTCAGAGACAAAATCACTAAAATCAATCATGCTCTAGGACTGACAGACCTAACACTACAGAGAAATGTTAAAAGACCAAACTTCTCATGAGGGTATCGGGCTGAGTGAAAAGTGGCATTGTTTTCCAGAAGCAGGACTTTGGGGCCTGTTTGACTTATAAACTTTGCTCAAGACTCTAGAGTCTAGCATGCAGAGCCATCCCCCCTATACCCATCAGACTGGGTGTCCCCCCAAGACCCAAGGCCAAGGAGAAGTGTGCCCATTCCTCATTTGGCAAATCCCAGCATCTGGCCTTCTGTGTGCAAGCAGCCTGCATGACATGGGTTTTTTCCTTCTCCATGCTAAACAGTATGCTGGGACAGGATAACTTTCCACGTAGGAGATGCTGAGGCTTTAACTCACAACTGACAGGGGTCATGAGAGGAAGAAATGAGGGATCACTAACTGGGGGAGCTTTATGCCAGAGGGAGAGCTGAGAGCTTGAAAGAAGACATTCTGTCTGTAAGAGGTGATTACAGCCGAGGGGGTTTCACAAGGGCTCTTCAGCGCTTGCAGGACCAGAGGAAGATTCCTTTTCTTCTGTCACCATTCTTGCCAAACAGAATGTCACTTTTCCTCTTGTCTTTGGTGGCAAAGATAAAGCAGCAGAGCTGAAAAGCGGTACCACTCATGTGAAGTGCCTGAAAGGGATTATTCTCGCTCTTCCAAGGGATTCCAGCAGGCTGCGCCCGAGGAGATGGGTTCCAATTTTAGGTGAAGTTAAGAAACATTCTCAACACTCTAAAATCAGATCATTTTCATTTCAGGTGCAGGTGTACCTAGTTTTCCAGAACCTAATCTGTGAAACTGTAGCTTTCCCCAAAGATAAATGAGTGGAGCGATGATTTGCTTTTTGTAAAAGGATTTCTGTTAGGAAGGATCCTCTTTCAGGTGGAACCCCCCTGGCTCCTGTTGCACGCTTTCTCGTCCCTACAGGTGTGTGTGCACATGCGTGCACGTGCATTTTCCCAGCACATGTCCATGGCACAGATCAACATTCAGGTATTGGAAATGGAATTGGTAGACTTTGCTGGTACTACTTGCTTCCATGGAGGACTAGGCTGGAGGGAAGGATGGTGATTTTAAAAAAGCAGAGTATTAGTCTTACTTTTCTATGGATCAGCTTCATTCCAGAGAGCTCAGTTGCTATAATCTGGGGGTCTCAAACCCAAATGCCTACAGGGGCCAGGAAGGAAACATCCATGAGTGAAGGAGAGTGGGTATTAGGAAGACAACAGGGAAGGGTGGGGACTGTGGTAGATTGCCACATGCATGCCCTGCCAACAGGGGGCAGTCATTTCTCAGCTGGAATTTAGGCCAAATGTTGCCAAATTGTCTGATTTTTCAAGAGAAACCAAGAATATAAATTTTTACAGAAATTTCCTCAATTTTCAAAATCTTCTCCAAGCCAGGCAGAACATGTGTGAACCAAATTCAGCCCGTGAGCTCTGAATAAGCAGTGTCATCCTAGTAGTACATACCCTTCGTTTGCTTTGAGAGTTGGGAAGGAAGGAGCCTGTATAAGTGGATATTTTGACCTCAGGTTTTCCGAAGTATCTTCCTCATGTTGGCCTCATTCAGCAGCTACTTCTTCGAGCTCTTACACTGCTGGGCACAGAGATTCAGAGCTGAGCAGAGCCCAGGTCTTGCCCTGCCGAGCAAGCAGTCTCATAAAGGAACCAGGCTTGCACACAGTTATAGTTAAGGATAATGATGCAGGTACAGGGGTGGGAGGACTCGATTTAGCTGGAAGAGCCAAGGAAGTCTTCCTAGAGGAGTGGGCATGCGTGAGCAGTTCACCCCTATATCCTCAAAACGTTTGATGATATATGAGAACCATGGCACTGTTGTGATCATTATGCATTTCTTTGGACATTGCCTCTTATTTATGGCCAATGATCTAGGTTTTCCACTTATGGAAGCAATACAAGGTGCCCCTTTAAGGTAAATACAAACAGTAATAATAGACAACAGTGACTGAGTACCTACTATGTGCCAGGCACTGTGTTATTAAATGCTCTTACGCACATAATTCATGGATGCTTCTCAGTAATCCTTCGAAGTAGGGGAAATGGTTGTACCCACTCTACAGATGAGGGAATTGAAGCAGATCAAGGTTAAGGAGCATGCCCAGGCCATGAGGCTCCAGAGTCTGTGCTTATATCCACAAGTGCTTGGAAGTCCAAGTTCAGGGTGCCCACCTGGCTGGCTTCTGGGGAGGACTCTCTTCCTGGCTTGTAGGTGGCTGTCTTCTGACTGTGTCCCCACGTGGTGGAGAGAGAGGGAGCTCTGGTGGCTCTTCCTCTTCCCAGAAGGGCACTGATCCCGCCCCTCACGACCTCAGCTAAACCTAATCACCACCCCCCCCCTCACCACCACCACCAAGGCCCTGCCTCCTAATAGTGGCCCACAGTGGTCAGGCTTTCCCCCTGTGAATCCGGGAAGGGGGGGGGGCGGGCACACGGTTCAGTCCCCAACAGCGAACACCTGCAGAAGCGGCACGGGCAGCCCAGACTCGGGCCTCGCTCAGGGTCTTTCCTCCCTTCTCCACCCCAGGCGCAAGGGGGATGTGAAAGCCCAAAATGACCCTCCTACCGGGAGACAACTCCGATTACGACTACAGCGCCCTGAGCTGCGCCTCGGACGCCTCCTTCCACCCGGCCTTCTTCCCGCAGGGCCAGTCCCTCAAGGGCGTGTTCTACCGCCGGGCGCAGCGGCTGCGACCCCGACCCCGAACCCAGGACGCGCCCCGCCAGGCGGGCCAGCCCGAGGACCGGCGGCGGCAGATCATCATCAACGTGGGCGGCATCAAGTACTCGCTGCCCTGGACCACGCTCGAGGAGTTCCCGCTGACGCGCCTGGGCCAGCTCAAGGCCTGCACCAACTTCGACGACATCCTCAACGTGTGTGACGACTACGACGTGACCTGCAACGAGTTCTTCTTCGACCGCCACCCGGGGGCCTTCGGCACCATCCTGACCTTCCTGCGGGCGGGCAAGCTGCGCCTGTTGCGCGAGATGTGCGCCCTGTCCTTCCAGGAGGAGCTGCTCTACTGGGGCATCGCCGAGGACCGCCTGGACGGCTGCTGCAAGCGCCGCTACCTGCAGAAGATCGAGGAGTTCGCCGACGTGGTGGAGCGCGACGACGACGAGCCGCCGTCCAGCGAGGACCCCGGCAGCGAGGGCCCGGCCGAGGGCGAGGGCCGCCTGGGCCGCTGCATGCGGAGACTGCGCGACATGGTGGAGAGGCCGCACTCGGGGCTGCCGGGCAAGGTGTTCGCCTGCCTCTCGGTGCTCTTCGTCACCGTCACGGCCGTCAACCTGTCCATCAGCACCCTGCCCAGCCTGCGGGAGGAGGAGGAGCAGGTAAGAGCCACAGCTGCGTGCGGGGGAGGCTCGTTGAGGGGAGGGGGGGTCCTCTGAGTTCAGGGGACAAAGCAGTATGCAGGACCCCTCTCTCCAGAAGTCCACCTCCTTCACGCCGGCGCGGTCACCTCCACCAGGAGGCCTTCCCTGACTGCGCTGGCTGAGCAGCATCTCCAGTCCCTTCTGACATTCTGCTTAACATGTGTGTTGTCCACCTCCACGTTCCAACACCAGCTCCGTGCCTGGCCTGCTCTGTGCAGTGCCCCCAGGGTCTAGAACAGTGTGGAGCATGGACAAGGCACTCTGCCACTCCGTGGAGGGAACAGATGAGCGAGTCCATGAATGATGTGATTTATGATGAGCCTGCCCCTGAGCTAAACACATAATAATAGATCATCAACATTTACTTCACCCACATGAGCCCTATCTCAAGCTTCCTAATTCCCTTGTTTAAAGATATCCCAGAACCATTTTCTGGGTCCAGCATATAATTTTTTATTGATAGTTGTGCATGTGCGCACGTGGGCTCTAAACAGTGAGGGTCTCTGTGTTAAGCAAGAGAATGTGTGTCAAGTGTTTACTCTGTGGCCTGACCAAGGTGTGTCCTGGATTCTCGGCCGGCAGTTACTAGCAGCCAGGGGCTGGGCCATAGTTCTGCCTACACCTCATGTTCTCAGCAAACCTTCCAGCAACCCCGTACGGGAGGCGTTCTCTTGCCCAGCTGACAGATGAGAATAGTGAGGCAGAGCAGCTTGCCCAGACCCAGGTCTGACTGAATCCCGGTTCTGTGCTCTTGAACAAAGAAGTACGAACCCCACAAGGCAGCCTGGGACTTCATATACCCTTTCGGAAGTGTGTGATTGGCCCACACTGTGCTCCCTAAAAATTGTACTTGCTTGCCAACATTTAAAAGTAAAGTGTCTTGCATTTAAAAATTCAAACTCTCAGCTTCTCAAAATGTATACGGTCTAGCCCCCTGGCCTGCAGTCCACAAGGCAGCTCTCGGTGGGAGCTGAGTCTGTGGAAAGTGTGTGCTCCCCAGTTCAGCTTCCTAATATATGAGACCTTTGGGCCTTTAAGTTGGGACCCTTTCCCCACATGGGGGTGGGGAGGCAGGGCACGGGGCGGGGTGGGGGGGGTTGGCGGCAGTTCTAGAAGCAAGTTGTAAGACAGACCAAAACATTCCAACAAGTACCAATTGTATAGGCGATGGGGAAATAGGTACGGCTGTATGAACTCAGCATAAATATCATGCCAGCCAGCATTTAATGAGCACTGGCCATGTTCCCTGCATGTGCTGAGCGCTTCACATGAACTCTCTGACGGAACATTGGAACTACTCACCAGGGGAGGGTTTTTCCGCATACATATATAATGGAGGAGGCAACAATGGCTATTGCATTTATAACACATGGGGGGGGGGTTTCTGGCACTTTTTTATACATTTAATTTTTAAAGTGAGTTTTAAAAAAATAACACTCAACCAGTGAAATTAATTTTTGATAAGCAGAAGGGGGAGTGATGAGGAGGGCGGGGCTAGAGCCCAATGGCCTGAATTTGAATCCCATTACGTCCACCCTGGCTGTGCACCTGTGGGCAAGTTACTTACCCTCCCTGTGCCTCAGTAGGGTTGCTGTGCAGAGGGTCAGCTCACAGTGTTGTGAGGATTCCGTGAGTGAGTCCACGGGAAGTGTTTGGAATAATGCCTGGCGCTGGAGCGTGCAGGCGGTGCTAACTATAAAGATTACATGCACCTGCCAAAGAAAGAGCGAGCAGATGCTCATCATTTGAGACCTGTCTGGAAGTACCTGTACATGGTATAAATTTTTTCTTGGCTCCAACATATGCAATCCTAGCTTTATCAGGAAAATACTAATAAAGCTACAGTTTTATTCACCTTCTGACACTTGCTTTTTTTTTTTTTTAAATAATACTTGGACTTTTTCTTGATTCAGTGATAATGCTGTTCTTTGACTTCATTTTTTTTTTAAAGATTTTATTTATTT